TCAGGCTTCGTAGTTTTTGTACTCTGTTACGTGAAATGGACAGCTCGCCCGCATTTTATCCGTATACAAGCTCGTGTAAATGCCGAAAAATGAAGGCGCGTACTCATAGCTGTCTCTCGTTTATTCGACAGCAGCATGATTGGGTAGATTACTCAGAATGTGTAATTTAACTACAATTGCCACTACTTACCGCCAAAGGTGGTTGATTAAAATTAAATTACTAGCGCACAAAAAGTCATTAATTACAATTGCGCTATTATTTCACAAAGCTACGCAGTAGCTTTCTGAACCATAGCTCGTCGACCGGACCTATATGAGTGATTTTAATTATGCTGATATGCTATCACTTGCCCGCACCGAAATATACTTGTCTATAGATGACTTGCATGGTGTACCTCACGCCACAAGTCATGAGATCGTCAAAATGTGGACAGCCGCAAATGCAAACATGGCAACATGCGTCAAAGGAAATGTGCAACGATTTTAACGTTGAAAGAATTAGCATCTTCTACTTTTCACGTTGTTTATCTTGTCACAAAGGACAGAAAACACGCCTCCTTTCTTCGAAATCTTGCGATTCCGCCGCGTAATCGCGAGGTAAAAATTATAATATTTTCCGACCCGCAGCCGCGAGCGGCGGCCATGTGAACCACGCGGCATGACGTCAATGGGAATCTTGTAGAAACATAGCAATTCGGGCGAATACCTGCTCGATAAAAGGTAAGTTTTTTTTTGTTTTGTTTTTTTATAAATCTTGTCGTTCCAACATAAATATAAATGCGTCAAAAACCTGGTATCAATGAAAAACTTTTATCATACGGAGTTTTAGTGGCGCCATGTTGATCGCGCTGCGCAAGCACGTGGTCACGTGGTCGCGAGTGCATGAGTTCTCGCTGCTCACTGATGGCTCTAGAGGGATAGCTTCACCAAGACCTCGCGCGACCCCCATTGACGTCACAGCGCACTTGACTCGGAAGATGGTGAAGGAGTTGAGAGGTGCCGAAAACCACAATCTCTGTCCATTTTTAAAATAAGAACTAGAACATGCAGGCAAAATTGTTTTTTTTTTTTTTCTTTACTCCAGAAAAGTCGAGACACCAACTCCCAAATTATGTAAGCAAAGCACTGAAATCGTTGCACAGCTTCTTTAAGGAACGAACATTGCCCGAGGTTCAGAATAAAAAAAGGCGTCCTTCCACACACACAAACCAAACAAATGTGCCGTGAGTCCCATACCCGGACCACGGTGAAAGACGAGAGAGGTGTCTGAACGGCTCCGCCCGATCGCCTCGAAACAAGCGTGTCGAAGGTTGGCTCTCCTTTGTGGAGAACCGTGAGATGAGCACAATATGACAAGAGGCTCCAGGAAGCGTCCTTTTTCGCGGTCACATCATCAAAGGTCGCGCGACGCGCGGCCGCACCAGCGCGAAGGCCGCCAAACCGACAGAGCGCCCCTACCGAAAGACGCGCGAAGCCCGAACGGAATTTCGCCGCCCTTGTCTGGCCTCGGTCTTCTTCAACCGTGACCCGGAAAGGCAGCAACAAGGTCTACAGGGGAAAAATGTAGTCAAGTAAATCGGCTCGAGCAGCCCAGCGCACATACTACCGGATGGCCAGAATTTCTAAATCGCACTTTTGTACACGTTACTCGAAGAAAGTAATCAATTACAATAACAATTGCTCTTACTCAAAAATTATTCATTTAGATTACTGGGTTACTCGTGACAGAAAGCAATGCGGGGAGCAAGTCGTCTGCTTCTTGTGCAGGAGTTGCAGTGACGTCACAATGACGCCGAGCTCTGATTGGTTTCGATTGAAAGGATAGCAGGTATTCCTCGATGCTAGATGCCGTGAGGTCTACCCACTATATATTTTTTCCATCAGCCAATAAGAATTTGGCGTTCTTACATCGTCGCAGCCCCTGTGAAAAAAGCAGACGAACTTGTGCTTCGCATTGGGGGTTACTCGAAAATGCAAGAATTACCGCTTTGATTACGTGAGATTTCCAAATACAGTTTTCCGCCCAGAAATGTAATAAACTTATCAGAAATTTTAATACATACTTACGATCTACTGTTATCACTTACAACGTAATAAAATTATTCTTTAAGTCATGCGATTACTTACAAAGGTAACCAGATTACCCTCGCGATTACATCCTAATAAACGTGGTCGAACGATTACAAAATTACTCCAAAAAGTAATAAATTGCGAGTAATTTGAGTATTTGTGATGAGTACCGTACAAGACTGCGGACAGCTTAAGGAAGGCGGGGTGTGGCGAGAATCTCACTGTCATCTCATCATCGTTCGACAGTCAATGGGATTGCGGCATTAGAAAACAAGGACGCCGAAAGACCAATCAGGAAAAGAGTTTAGGTTTTTTTTGTTTTTTTTTCTAATTAATGTCAATGTTTATATTTGCACGTTTTAACATAAAGCACCTCTGTAAACAAAAAGGAGGGTTTTTTACGCAACGTGACTGATTCCCGCCTCTTAAGGGTGAATCAAAATAATTGCTCGTGTACTTAGGATCACATATTTTCGTTAGTTCATCAAACACAAAACTTACGCGAAGCGTCGTATTTTTTTTTTTTTTTTCTCTGACGGCAATATTTTGTTAGACTCGCTTGACGCAGCTCTTAAAATACGAACCTGCGCGATACTGTTTTTTTGTGTGTTAAAGCGATCAACTATAGGATACCAACCACTGTTACCAGACGCGTGTTCGAAAGCGCCTCGTTCACAAGCTGCTTTTTTTTTTTTTTTAATAAGGCAGCTCTACCTGGCCGACCGTATAGTGCGCGATCGACGGCGTGGATAAATATAGAGCAACCTATGAAGCACTGAAAGAATCAGGCAGAATCTAAAATGGCCGCTAAAAATCGGCGCCTGCATGTTGCAACCAAAACTTTTCGTCAAACGTGTATGTCACTATAGCTCACACAAAAAGAATTTAAAAAAAAAACTGAAATGAACGAGGAACAGGCACTCACAGCTCTTTCACAATTGGTTTCGAATTCACAGGTCGGTTTTATGCTGTAAAATTGCAAAGCGTAGCTCCTTTTTTTTTGTAAAAAATGGGGACCAAAAGGACTTGCCTGGGTCACCGGCGGACGGCGACGGAGACGACCGAGTCGAGTGGCGGGGCGCGTTTAACGCACGCATTGATAGGCGGCGCTGCCTCTTATGAGACTACTCGCGACGACCGCGGTCTATTAAAATGAGCACACTTTTATTTCTTGTACCTTTAATTTAAAAATAAATGCGAACAACAAAAACAAAATTTTATGTAAAAAAAAAATTAGTAAAAAAACGCGGTCGCGAAATGGCGGCGCTCTTGCTTTCGACAGATTTCGTCTGCGTGTCGTCTGCTTTCTTTCGCTGGTCGGCTCCACCTTCCGACGTTACTCCCGACGCCATCTATCAACAGGTGCGCCAAACGCGCCGCCCGCCACTCGACTCGCTCGTCTGCGTCGCCATCCGCCATTGACCCTGGCAAGTTTTTTGGCCTTTTTTTCTAGAAAAATCCAGCTACGCGTTTTAAGTTTGCAGGATGAAAACGACTTGTGAAATACGCATTTGTCGAAAATTTTAGATTGTTACGTGCAAGCGCCGATTTTTACGGTTCATTTTAGATCGAGCCTGGTTACTTCAGACACCCTAATTACTTGAGTGTACTAGAATTAAGTTATCCGTGTTTCAGATGTGAGGAGTTTTACAGCACGAATTTATACGAATTTATGATGCGTTCGAAAACGCCACGGCTTCCGCCGCCCCCTCATTTGCAGAACCGGGCAATAAGCGTATGATTTTTTTAGACCTGGGGCTACTCCAACTGAAAAGGACTAAAACAGTAATTACAAAAGAAAAACCAAAAGAAAAACAAGAGATGTTCACCTAGGTTATTGTCTTGGTTGGCTACTCTGCTCGTTGTAGTCCAAGGAAAGCCCCTCACAACTCTTTCAACTAAGCGAACGCTCGAAAGTCGCCTCTTTTCCAACCTACGATCGGCCAAAGTAGAAAGAGGTGGACTAAAGTTTCCCTGAACTCTTAAGGGTGTCACCTGATTAGGTTTCTGAGATATCCTTAATATGCTCACTCTGCGGGCTCTACGCATCCTAGAAATCCATAAATAATAAGGATCCGCGGCCGATATCCCTATTAAAACAGCTATCAAAGATCGAACCCACCGAGGTCATCTCCTGTGTTGGGAGGAGCATTGTTCCGGCAGCCAGGACGACACGTGACAAATGAAAACGGGACATTCCGTTGAGATTGCAAACGCTGTTATTACGAATTGTGTACGCTTTCGTTGATGAAAAAAAGAAAATAACAGTAGCTCAGAAATCTCTTTTTTTTTTCGCGGAGAGGGAACTTATAATACTGCAATAGTCGTGTCAAAAACAGCGCACAATGGTTTTTGCTGATTTCTTTTACCAGCAGGAGTGATGTGTCCGGTTGTCAGCTCTCGAGTGCGCGCTCGCTGGGTTTAAGCGTAGTCCGGGCTGTATGAGCAACGAGCCGCGTGCCTTCGAAATGTCACTCGGCGGTTCCACCGGTCGGAGGAGCGAAGATACTTCGCTCGCTATTGGCTGACAGGGGTCCTGGTTTTGGAACATGCTCCTTGCATCGCCGGAGATGAACTCGGTGCGTTGCGCTTTTTGATTGCTTTTTTTATTATGGAAATGGGCCACGTATCGTCGTGATTCAAGGATCTCTAGGATACTTAGAGCCAGCAGAGTGAGTTATCGCCATAGTAAGGCGATCTCATAAACTTCCTCAGGGTACCTTTAACCTATTGCTGACTGTGAGAACTGACTGATTATGAAAGAGCATGTTTGTGAAATAACTATCTTGTGGTATATTGCTAGGGTTTCCAAGAAACATACGTTGTCGCTATGTCACCCAAACGAGCATTTGAGTGTTCCGTAGTGCTAGTGCGACTAGGGCACAAGTTGTACAATGTTCACGAATGAATGCCGCACATTTTTTTAAAAGATGTTTAGTCTTATTATTTCTTTTTCTTTTTTTAGTATCCAGGGTGAAAACATCGGAATCCCTGGCCCCATGCTGTTCCACTTGCATTACTTGAAGCCCTACAGGCGTCACCGACGGGTGGTGACGAGGACATTGTTGCTGCTCGCAGCTTTCATCCTGTTGTTTTATTTGAGCTTATCAGGTGTCCTCGAACGTCTGCGAGAGACGCCATACTCTGACTACTCTTATCCTCCAGAAATCGATCTCAAATACCTGCTGCGGTCGCTCAAGACGGGCAGAGAACCCGCGGCCTACAGAGTTCAGAATCACTACGAGCGGTACGTCTTCAAGATCAGCAACGAACTCAAGTGTCATGTTTCACAAAACCGGACGTCCATACTGATCGTCGTCAAGTCTGCCGTAGCCCACCAGTCACTTCGAGACTCGATCCGCCAGACCTGGGGACAAGAGTACCGCTTCAAGGACGTAGACCTCCGACGTGTGTTTATGGTTGGTGTGAAAGCCAACGATGAAACCGCACAGAGCGCCTTGGACGACGAGCATGCCCACCACGGTGACCTCGTACAGGCGGACTTCGTCGACACCTACTACAACAACACCATCAAGATGATGCTCTCCTTCCGTTGGGTCCTGGAGCACTGCACTGACGTCCAGTGGATATTTTTCGCTGACGATGACTATTACGTGTCCGCAAAGAACCTCGTCCAATTCCTCCAAGACTCAATGAACCCGAGAGATCGGCACTTGGTGGGCTACGTCTACGACGAAGCGGCGCCGTACAGGGCCTACTTGAACAAGTGGTACGTGTCCTCGTCCGAATACCCCTTCAACCGGTACCCTCCGTTTCCGGTAGGTGGTTCGATCGTGATGTCGATGCCTGCGCTTATCGAGCTCTACCATATGGCCCGGTACACGCGACAGTTTCGTCTAGACGACGTCTTTCTGGGCATCGTTGCAAGAAAGGTTGGACTGCGGCCAATGCACAGTGACAAGTTTCGTGACAAGAACCAGCCCAAGTTGCCCGAAGACTTTGTCGGCATTGTGGCTGCTCATGGGGTTTATGACAAATACCACATGGTTCAAATCTGGGAACAACAGAAACGCTTAGGACACGCGTGATGCTGCTCTCACCCCTGTGCAGAGGTATAAAACGAAGATTAGCTATCCTTTGTTTTAGCTTAAGGGGGTCATGAAATGAACTTTGGGCTGGGATAAATAAATTTAGATTGGATTTTTATTAATAGCACATCCTTTAGTGGGCCAAAAGAAAGAAGGTGAAAAGTCAAAAGCCTGATTTTTGGTGCGAAAATTTGAAAATACAGCGGACTATTTCGTACCTCCTTCCCTTCGAAAGCTTTCTGCCTTTTCAGTGTGATATATCCGCGGTACTCAAAGCGCGTCACCCGGCACAAACGCACGTCACACCACACCGGACCTCACTTATTCCCTTTACCCCTAAGCTGGCATTGTGGTGGAAGCTACGCGCTTGCCAGACCAATCAGCCGCCTCCCTTTCAGTACCTGCCCTCATTCTCTGCGCGTGAGCAGGGTTGGACAGTATCGCGATAGAAATGCATCCGCGATAGTGTTTCAGAAGTACATTTCGGATCTGTATTTCTGTATCGCTATACATTTTTTTTTCCACCAGTATCTGTATTTTTGTATTGAAATACATTGGGAATATTTTTTTGTACCGCGATGCAATCAGGATATGAAATGTATTTCGTCACATTTATTTAGAAATACTCCCCCCCCCCCCCCCCCCCCCCCCCGAAAAAAAAAAAAAGAATGTCCAAATGCTTTTTTTTTTCTTCTGAGGGCAGCAGGGTCACAGAGATTCTGGAGCATTGTTACTATGCTGACCAAGGTTCCTTCCTATTCTCCAAACTGTGTTTCTATGAGTCCTCTTTTCCCTTCTGAGAAGTATTGCGTAGTCGGGGATTCGAACCAGGTGGAATGCCAGGAGTGCAGCCGGAGCATCTTTTTCCGCAGGTCCTTAGGTGGGGATTTCTTGAGTCATTGTTTGCTGGTATCCAATGCCCACTGCTAACCGTCTCTCTTGCCTTAGCGTACACAGTATACCCAGCCGTCAAAGCTAAGTCACAGTCCGTTGCAGCACGAGCATGGTGGTGGTTGACTTGAAATAGTAGCATGACTCAGGCAGTGAAGTTCAACACATATTCGAATCCGTCTGCGGTTGCGCCCGTATTATTGCAAGGCTCAAGGGTACGTGATCAGCCGACGTGAACGTGACCCGCTGCTCTAGTTATCCGAAACCCAGGAAGGAGGCCAGACATGGCCTCGCTGTGCCGACCCAGACTTTGTACATCTACGACTCGTATCGAGCGCGCTGCTTCTCGGAGAACTTGCACCTTTACCGGCAATATCAGGTCGCAATCCACGAGGTCTCTGTTTGGATGATGCTAGCTAGGCGAAACTTGAGGACTGCAATAGACCTGTTGCAAAACGTACAGCGCCACGACGGCAGGAAATTTTGGGTACCCTCGGTACAGATCACCCGCTTTCTCGTTGCGCCTCCGCGACTGCGCGCTCGTCCCGGCAGCAACCGCCAGCAGCCGTTGCAACCATCCGCCATCCCGCCCATCCGCTGAGTCGTACGTCGTTGGCGGCGTACCGTATCTGTGGCAGTGTAAAGGCATCGTGACAGCTGTACTTATTTGGATACCTTATTTGTCGTAACTTACCTTCACGTATTGAATTTTCACCGAATCCATTTAGTTTGCACCGCAACCGTGGCAGGTTTCGACCAGGCTCGACAAAGGGTTGGCGCAGCAGACGACAGAGACGGTACAAAGGAGGGGGATTGAGAAGGGGAAGCCGTTGGCTCGTCCCTCGCCCGACTCGGCTGCTCAAAAGTTGTTGCCGTGGTAACCTGCGCCTGCTCGCGTATGCCACCTGCTAGCAGAAGGAGGGGCGTACCAAGGACTCCAATTTTTCGTCGCGCGGCGCGCGCGGGCTTTTGGGATTCCGCAAAGGGATTTTGAGATTTTCGCAATTTTCGTAATTCATGCGTCGGTGGCGGCGTGTCGGCAGGAAGGACCTTCATAACAGGGATGCCACCGTATCGTTTTTTCAACCGCAACAAAAGATCAGACATGTGTTTCAGGGTGCTTCAGGTGGTCCACTATTCTCAAAAATTCCAAATGACACTGTCTGCACCATCTTCAACGAAGTAACCTACAACGAAAATACGTATTGTCCTTTCATACAACAGCGTGGTAGAGTTTCATGTTCAAGGCCCACAGCTATAAATACAGAATACCAGTTCATTCCACCGAGACGTTATATGATCATGTTGACAGGGGCGTCCTTATTGGACAGGGGCGTGGTGTAGTTTTGATGGGATTTAGGGTGACAGCATTTATTTAGAGGTGAAAGTCTTTCGCATCCCTCGTCAGAGAGACAGGATGTCAGGGAAGGGACCACGGTCAGTCCTTGATGGAACAGTTTTTTGAGCCCACTGAAGACTCCTCGTCGTCCGAAACCACTACATTCAAGCCAAAGTGCCAAGCCTACGGGAAAGTAATTTCGGGATCAAGAACTGCCACTTCAAACTTCAAGCTTCATCTCAGTTGGCGTCTTAAACAAATTTGAAAATTGTATTGCAGTATCAGTATTTATGTATTTGTATTTCTGCCCTCCCTAAAATGTATTCCTGTATTTGTATTTCCGAAGACTTTTTGCCTCTATTTAAAATGTGTTGTCAATACGTATCGCGATACATTTTTAGAGGTATACTTTAGTATCAGTATTTTAGCTACTATATTAATGTATCACAGTATCTGTATTTCCAAATACAGCTTTGAGTATTCCTGCCCAACCCTGCGCGTGTGTATGCGCGAGTGAGCGTGATCTCGCGGCAAAAGTGTGGTTGGACCAACGAGCACGTACATTCCACAGCACTGTCAGCTTAGGGGTAAACGGGCTGGGGAAAGCAACTTTTGTCCGAGTTTTGAGCGACGGGCTAATTAATCTTCTATGGGGAGAATGGCGGTGTCCCGGGTACATAAGCGAGGGTCGGAGCAAGAGGGGAGTCCCTCCTTTCCGTCTTCCTGAACTGTTGGCTTCAATGCGCGATTTGTGAGTTGAGGAGGAAAGCTAACAATGAAAAATTTGAAAAATCGTTTCATGACCCTTTTAAAGGGGCCATAAAACGATATCGGCTAGGAATGTTCATGACTTTGCAAAGGCGTGCTGGTCGTAGTCTGGCCCAAGTATACTCGCACAGGCTGCCACTGATTCAGAAGCTTCTGTGTCGCGGTGAAATTGCGAGGATAAAAGGGGGCTATTTCTTTTAGTCTATCCTTTACGATGCTTGATGACTTAGTCATGGGATCGAAACCACCTACCTGAGAACTATCGAGCGTGGCTCATGGGTTGGACACGAGAACTGCGTAAGAACTCGACTTCGGCTCGGAACAGTCAATGCCTCGGTGGACACTCGTGTAGTGACTCGTGTCCAGCCACTGCGGTAATGAGAATAGTCCAACTCTAACAATGCCTGGAGTTCAGCACGCACGCGTTTTCTAGTTTGCCAACCCTAGCACCGGGCTATGATTAACGTTGGCGGCATAGGATAGTCACCATGACACCAGACCGCTTGTTCTGTCTCCAGGTTTATGGGACAAATAATGCCCATATTTCTCTTTTTTTTTTCTTTTTTTTTGTGGGGGGGGGGGGGGATTGTTATTGTTTGGAAAGAGAAAATAAGGCAAGTTTATTCAGTTATTAACGTAAAGCACTGATTTTAAGTAGTATTTAATGAAAACAAAAAAAATCATTTTGTGGCTCCAGACGTCGCTGACGACACAAACGCAAGCTCCAGGCTTTGAGCTTCCCTGCCAAGCACGCGCGCTCGTGCAGTGCCAGCACAACTCAGGGCCACATGCTCGCGCTTGTAGCATCGGCTGCGTATGGACTTATGTTGAAACGAAGTATAGCATTTCTTATTTTTCTGTTCATTACTTGTTTATAATGGCAGAAGTGAAAGCTCCGACAAAGAAATTAGCTCGTGCCACCTTCGCCTGTGTAATTTCTGCTGCACATAACAAATATCTTTACATTTCGAGCATTCCCCTTCCGGACCGGATAGCGAACGGCCGTACGATGGATCGCTCTGCAGCCATTGCGATAGCGGCAGAGCCTAACTGCTCGCTGCGCGTGTGCCGAGCCGCTATTTCGCACCGGCACTGCCCATGCGCTTTCGAGCGCCGAATCAATGAAGTGCGACCTCGCACTGCACGTCTACATCCGGGTACGGCAATACCTTCGTTGGTCCTGTGAGTTACCGGCAACGACGGTAACTTGTGCTGAGTTACCCTCGCTCAGGCTTGTGCCCGTTACTTGAAAAGGATGTAATGAATTACAATTACAAATTACCGAACCTCAAATGTAATTGATTACCGCTACAAATTACTTTCTTTGAAAAGTAACGGCTTACTGTGCTCGTAACGTTACAAATTAATTTCACGGTACTTCTCCCGCACTTATAGAAAAAAACAATTGAAACAAATTCGATGTTTTCAAAAATGTTGTGCAGCCCTACTTTCCATTCCTTGTACGCTCGCATTTCGGTAATCCTTGTAAAAATAAAAGATCGTACTTTAGCGAAAGGACTTCGGTGCACTTCGTTACCCTGTAAGCTGCCAAAACAGCGAAAGCTGCAACCACACCCGCCATCCCGCTAGCTCGCGGCGACCGGAAATGATTCCCGGAATTCTGCAGGTGAAGGTAGTGGTGCGCATGCTCAGTAGTAGCGTCTACCTCCGCTAAGAGATCAAGAAGCCAACGTGTACTCGGCGTTGTCTTCTTGATTTTTGTTTTCCGCATCTTCGCATATGCCGTGCACTGTTTTCTAGTTATTCTATACTCCGTTTCACCTTATGTTGTGCCGCAGCGAAGGCTAGAAGCGCGAGCTCATAGCGTTGGCAGCTGCCCTTGGAGCACGAGAGCTTCTGCCGTTGAGGTGTGCCATAGAGCAAGGAGCTCGCGCTTCTAGCCTTTCCTGCGGTACAACACAAGGTGAAACAGAGTATAGTGAGCGCCGACTACACAGGGATCTACGCTTAAGCTACTCCATAACGATAGTCTCAATATTAA